GAAATCACTCTGGATCCCTCACATCCAAGCCACCCCCCTCTTGAATACCTACCTATTGAGTGCTGTGTTTTTACATTAATTTGGAGATTCAATGAACAATTATGACAACATACATTATTATATATGCAATTAATCGTAATTACAGAACAATGTGCAATTAATTCGTTTATTTTTTATCGGTTGACAGCACTAATTTATTTATTATTTTTCAAATGTGTTCTGCACACCACGCACAGAAAAAATAGGCAAAGACCCAAAACTCTACTATGCAGAACTGTGCAGCTTAGATATGCTGTCACTAATTTGCCGTCACTTAGATGTGCTGTCACAAATTCTTCATCACACAAAAGTCACACATATGACATCCCTTTGCTGCAAGATTTCATCAGAGTGCTGTGTTTTGCTCATATTACACTGCTGAGAACAGCTAGTGTTTACTATGGTCCTGCATGGATGCTGCCTGTCAGCTGCCACAGTTCACATTATGAAAAAGGGTGATTGATGTCTGAAGCGCTGATCTGTTCAGGGATTCAGGCGTTTATTAAACATTAACATCTGTAAGACAGACAGACAACACCAGGGAACACGAATGCGTGTGCAAGTAGAAAAATGGAGGGAGGGAGAGAGCAACAGAGTGTGAGTAGGTGGCTGTGATCCAGTGTAGAGTTTCACCCACGCTCATACAGAGGCTGCAAAGATTCGTGGACTCTGGACAGAAGGCAAAAAAGGCATTTTTTTCTATGCAAAAGCACGTTGAGTGTCTTGACAACAGTAGGCAAATAAGATCATCCACACATATCGTATGCCTGCTGAAAAACACAATGTGCTTTTGACCTTACAGAACCTCACGTCGAGTTTGTCCATAATTAGGGCCCCTATGAAATCCTTTTAATTTTGAGCAAATTCCATTTTATTAATTGAAATCATGACGCTTATACAATTTAATATAAATTTTATTTTAAAGTTACATGTAAAAAAATACATATTAAGGTATTATATCCTGTGATTTTTTTTCCTGGTAATGAAATGGCATAAATCATTCATTTATAATTACATTTTTTTATTTTATTTTGGCAAACAAAGTGCTGCCCAACAGAGGTTCACTGTTCAAATTAAAACATGGAAGACAAATTGTGATTACTCCTTAAAAATGTTTTAATAATAAAAATGTTATTATTATGATCATTATCATTGAGATGTGCATTCTACTGTACAGACATATATTTCTGTCACAATTTCTATAAGTTAAACTAAACTTTTATTTTGACGGGTTTCCATGAAGACCTTAGCTTCTGTGTGTGTGTTTTTCTCAAACTATGAATTTCATGCGTTCACGTCGTCATATAGTGAGACAGAAGCCATTCATTCACACGGAGAAATGCAGAACATGCAGGATTCATATTTAAATAGTCTTTTCGCCTTTAATATTTACAGACACTAGTCTATATCATGATTTGATTTAAGTGTACTGACCTACATTTGATTTATTTATCCAAAATTTGACAAATTCCGTGACATTCCGTGTTATTAATGACTGGATTCCGCGATTCCGTATACGCTTTC